TAGCATTCAAAAGAATGAATTATATATTATGTTAGTTTTAATGGAAACATTTTCTAATCAGTAATTTTATAAGATTGGAAACGTTCTATTTATTTAATTTTAAATATGGAAATTTGGTCAAATGCTTTTATAACATTTATTATAATTTTAGATGTCCATTGAAGAGGGATTTGAAGCACAGGCTATTTTGCGCGCGCGCTCTCTCTCTATATATATTATGTTTTAGTTTCATCCGAAGAGAGTGAAAAATGTAACAAAAAAACAAGGAAAAATTCATTCTTCACATTTTGCATTGATGGATTTTTATAAGATAGATCTTTGTTAGATTCTAACTCCTAGTTTTATGATAGAAGAGCTTGTTGAATCCTGAAGAATTTTTTGTTGCCGCCTTATCGGTGAATTATCCTTAAGGATAGTATTTTTTGACATGCCTCAAGTTACAAGAAATTTTCGTGATTTACAATATTTTCTGACAATCTTAAGGATATTTTCTTTTGTTCTCATGGATCATAAAAATGATCAGTCTGCTATCGTTATTGACAATACCATCATTGTTATACAAACATTTCGTGGTGGTGTTCCCATTGTATCTTCGTATAGTTTTGCCAAACACTTTCCTGATATTTCAAAGGTGAAAGTTTTTTGGTTGGACAAAATTTTAAAAGATGGAAGGAACGTATTTTCTCTCCTCTAGACAAGTATAGTGTTGCGGTTGCACTAACAGATACAAAACCTGATGAATCTGCTTTTGATCAAATAATTCAATGGATTAATGCAAACAAGGTGTGTAAGCACACTATGTAAAGGTCAAATCAATAAGTTTCACAAACTAGTTGAAAATCTTAAATCAAAGAAATTATTTTGCGAAGTAGTTTGTGGTTGGTATGTTGATTGAAAAAATACCGCAATCTTGAAATGACTACAACCAAAATTTGAAGCACAAACAAAAATAATTATCTCTTGATGATTTGGTGAAATACATCATCATCGAGGATACCAACCGAAAGCAATCAATTTCTGTTCAAAGAAAAAATTTGCTACAAAAGCCAATCTTGTGAAAGACAATAAGTCTCACAATAAAAATGTCTGGTGTGAAAAGGAACCCGATTGAACATTGTGGACAATGTGAGTGATTGTGTGATAGACTCTGGTACTACTATGCATATTTGTGCTAATAGAACTGATTTTGTGTCTTACGTCCAAGTCAATGAAGGATAAGAATTTGTATATCTTGGCGATTCTACAACTACTTGAGTTCTTGAAAAAAGAAAATTTCTTCTTAACTCACATTGAAAATATTTTTAGCATTGACCGAAGTGTTGCATGTTCCTAATATTCAAACTAGATTGAATTCTATAGGGTTATTAGAAAAAGTGGAAATGAAAATTTCATATGAATTTGATGAGGTTGTGTTAATCAAAAATAATATTTTGCGCGCAAAAAATATTATAGTCATGATTTATTTGTTCTCGATGTCTCTCAAGTTAAGAGTGAAGATGCTTGTACTTAATTATTTTTTAAGCATGATAGACTTGGAACCATATGGAATAAATAAGGAAAAAGTTTTATTTTTTGAGTTGTTAACCTTTTGGTAATGAATCTTTTACTATGTTAGTTAGTTTTTATTATATTTATATTAAATTTGTTGATGGATATAATGACTTCAATTGAAAAAATAAATAG